CCCATCCCCCCTTTCCCTCTCAACCCCCCCCATACCCTCCTTAAATCCCCCCATGTCCCCCCTGCCCCCCCCATATCCCTCAAATGTGGCTCTCCTGCGTGGAAATCTGTAGGTGGGAAGTAGAACCAAGTTTCAGCTTTGTGTATCTGTCAAAATGAGAAGACGGTGCCTTTGAGTAAAGATAGGGCACCTGGGGTTCATTCACCATTTTTTAACCCTTTCAGAAATGACCTATTACCCAGGCAAAGCAAAGCAGTGACCAGTGGCACCACAGATTAAACACGATCTGAGGTGAATCTGGGGAAGCTAGATTATCACCAGCTGTTACAGTAATTTTACCTTTTCCACTGTGGCAGTGCCCAAGGGCCCAGACCTTTGGGATAGTGTTTAAAGGCAATACTGGGTGACTTAGAGGAGTCTGGTGCCTGCCATGATTTAAGCATACATACACAAAGGAGCAGTCACTGTGCATGGCACTGGATATCCTCAGGCATGCTGGTGCCTGTTTTTCTCTGTGCTTTACAGGCAGGGCCATCTGTGGGCTAAAGACTATTAAGCAGGAAAAGTTTGTTTATGGAAAGGCTTAAATTCTTTATAAAGGAATCCCAGCCTATACTGAAAATGTGGTGTGGCTCCACTAAGCAGAAATTAAAAATGCTTTCTCTGACTTGAGAGTGTTGCAGTGACTGATACACCAATGAGACACAGACAGCTCCTCTTCATTGCCAAATTCTCAGGGTTGCAGCTTGTCCTGTGTGATAGGAAAAAAGCCACCTTGCCATGCTTTATCCTAGGCAAGAACTGATAGCACAGTAAAACTGGAATTGTATCACATCAGTGCCCGAGTGATTTATTACGATCTAGGGCACTATGTCTCACCTTGGATGTACGAGTTCCAAGGAGAATTTCGGTTTTCACAAGGCGGCATTAAATGGCCAGGGATGGCAATGGGTACCAAAGGTGGCTGCCACGTGCTGCCATGAGGCAATGCAGGCAGTGACATCACTGCATGCCTTGTCCTGACTCATGTCTCAGCCTGGGGGAGTTACTCTAAGGAAGTCTCCTGCAGCTTTCCACTTACTGAATTAGTCTTCTGGGCAGCACTGGGATGGAAAATGATTGCTTCTGCTCCAGGCATCTAATGCAACCATGCAATGAATTTTCTTATTTGCTCCCAGTCCAGAAAAGTCAACACAGCTCCACAGGATGCACTGAATAAATATTAATATTGCTGTCCTTACTCCCTGAGCTCATTTTTGCTCTTGGTGAATTGATTCTCATTTACTCTGTGAATACAAAGTGAGCAGTTTTGTTAAACCTCACAGTTGCTCTAACCTGCAGAGAAAAGCTTGGTGTCGTCTATCTCATTCCCTGTTTTCCAAGACACACACAGATGATTTGCAGAGTTACTGGGCTTCAAACCAGGTGTCTGATAAACAATCTGCTTCTGAAATGGTGGAATGCAGCTGCTTTTGCATTCTCCAGCAGATTTCAATGTGCCTGTGACAGTAGTAAGTATTAAATCATAAATAGCATCTGTACAAGATGCTCTTCTTCCTTCCTCATTTTGACAGACACTTGTCAGGAGCCACAGGAACACGAATGTAGAGCACAGACACCCAGTTACCAAGCAGTGTTTCATTACCGTATGTTAATTACATTTTTGAGAAGTTCTAGGAAATCAGGAACATAAAACATGCAGGCGTCTTCTTTCCATTGATCAGAGAACTGTGCAGCACAGCTGCAACTTCTCCCAAGTCTTTACTGCAGGAAGGATTCTGAAAAGAAAAAAAAAAAAAAAAAGCCTCTCCCTTTTCCTCAGGCTTTTTTTTTCTTTTTTTTTCTTTTTCTTTTCTAAAAACAAAAAGCAAATAAAAGCATAAAAAGAAGAGATTTCTGGGGATAGCTGGAATAAACTCTACTCAAGTTCAGCATTCAACACGATGTTTCTGTGTCTTAGGAGTAAATGAGTGGCAAGTTCCAGGCAAGGCCCAGCTGGCTAAGTGCAAGTTTTCTAGTATAGCTAGGAACTGGATTGGCTCTTTGGCTGCCAAGCCCACCTCCAGTAATTAGAAGCTGAATTAGAAGCTAATTGACTCTGCAATTCACTTCCAGTGCTCATTATCACTTTGATATTTAAAGTACTTGTAAAACTGATGAATCTGTACTTGTGATTTCTCTGAAGTGAGAAAATAAAACAAGTTCCAGATGAGTAGCTGGGTGGTAATTATCTGTTAATATTGTTCTACATGTTGATTTTGGTAATGGCTGTATTTTATTAAGGACTAATGAGTCATCTTCAGTGCTTCAAGTCCAGGTGACAAGGAAAAACCCAGCAAAGGACAGTTACAGCCCACGGCAGCAGCAGCAGCAGTGCTGTGGGTGCAGTTCTGTTACCCAAAGCCTCCTGAGGAGATGACATTTGGAGATCAGCTGAGTGATGTTTGTGGAGCAAGCTCCTCTCAGGAAAATTAAGGAAGCAGAAATGCAAATGCCCAGCACTCAGCTCCTGCAGGCATTTGGAATGCAGTCAGCTTTGCCATTCGTTTACATTTTCATTTTTTCAGGAAAGTGGTCGCATTGGCAGTTTCTTGTGTAACTCCAGAGGGCAATTTTGTATTTTTGTTGTATTCCCTTTGGAGCATGCTGATTGTTTGCCTCCCTGCAAGCTTTCCAGAGATCTCCCCTGAGGAGCTGCACCTGGCGTATTATAACTGCAGTGCAATGGAGAGCACAGGATACTATGTAAGTATTCAGAACAACTGAGCTTTCTGTGGACACGCTCAGGGTAGCAGTGGTTCCTGTTCTTCAGGTGGCCGCTCTTGACTCAGTGAATACCAGTGCCCTCATACGTTCACTTTTCTGTGCAGGGAGTAGAAAACAGCAGGAGCTGCTGGCCTGAAGGCTTTGCCATTACTGAGCAACCTGATGTGGCCATAGGTGACCCTGTTCACTGCAGGGGAATTGGGTCAGATGGCTTTAAAGGTCCCTTCTGACTCAAACAGGTCTATGATTCTCCCTGCCCCTTTCTGATAACTGCGTGGCACAGGCCTCACCAATGATGCAGGTACAAAACGTATTATCCAAAGCAGGAGTTTCTGCTCATAAAGTGGGGCAAAACCTGAATTGTCCAGTCTGAAATTTCCTTGCAGTAGCTCAGATCACTCTTGTTCCCCCTTTTAAAGAAGGCAAAGGGGGGGAAAGGGGGGGAAAGGGACCCAAATAAGAAAAAAACAAAAGCCATGCTTAACAAAAGCATGTTTGTGTTTTCCCACGTTTAGATAAACGCTGTCCATCAGTATGTGCAACAATGGAGAAACAGGCTGCAGGAGCTGAAGGCTTTAAATGCCTGGAGAACAGCATCGATGGTAAGTGTTAAGGAAAGATAAAGCACTTCTGTTCCTGATATTGCTTTTCTCTTAAGTGAAGGTTTTCTTAGGATTCCCATTTAGGCAGAGCTCAGGGTTCAGACTTCAGCACAGATGATTGTTCTGCACTCAGCAGACTGAGCCAAAGCAGATACAGATAGAGTCATGAAACAAACTAGAACAAGGGAGAGGAGAATGAGAGCTCCAGGGGTTTTGGTGATTGCAATTACTTTTTGCCTGTCAGTCAACAGATTCCTGCTTCTAGGGTGTTTGCAGACAGTAGCCTGAGAGCATTTTGTTTAAAGTAGCCATTGCTCGTGGCCAGCGTTTGGATCAGTTTCTCAGTTGCATTCAGTTGGTCGGCCCACGTGGGTTTTTGCTTTAAGCGTGGATTGAAAGACACTTGCCTGTGTTGGAATGTAGTTTTCACAGATGTATTTTGAAAGTTTTTCAGCTACTTTGGAGAGAGAAAGTGGTCACTCCACCATTACCTTCTCTTGGATTGGGAGGACAGTAAGTCCCAAGCACTGGGTTCCCAAGTAAGTTTCTGCATAAGGAACCAGCAGTTAAACAGGCGCTGATAAGCGTTCTTCTGCAGCACTGAAATGCAACAGTGTTTCAGTATGGCAGGTGCACCCATCCTCAGCCTTCCTATCCATTTCCTCACTGCAGGCTCTCCAGCCAACAGCAGCAGCGGTGCTGCCCGCTTGTCCTTGCAAATCCCAGCGTCTCATCTGGAAGCGCTCCAGCTGTGGGGAGCTCTGCTGCTGCCTCCAGTCCTCCTGCACTCGGGGTGACGTCCTCCCACAGCTGTCCCCATCCTGTTGGGACTGGGGATTCTGCAGCTCCATCCACAGCCCGCTCCTCACTTAACGCTCCTGGAACGGCCGCTGGTCATGGACTTCTGGGCTTCCAGGCCCTGCGAGCCCTGCTGCGGCAAATCCTTCCAGCACCGCTCCGCTTGCTGTCGCTGCTCCCAAGGCAGCTACAGAACCTTCTCACCCGGGTGCAAGCAGTGCTTTGGCCACACCGACTGCCGGTGCCTCTGCACACAGCGCCGCGTCTGCGCCTCCTGCATCCACACGGCATCAGAGCAGGGCAGTTACACACACCAAGGAGGGAACTAACGGCCAGAGAGCTGGAGCAGTTCAGAGCCAAGAAGTTTCGCTAGGAAAGGTCCTTCTGAAGCCACCACCAGCAGACCTTTTGTATGATAAGGATTTAAGTTAATTCTGAAGTTATATGCCTTAATTAAATATAAATTAATACATTATATTATATTATTTACATATGCCTCAATTAAATAGAAATAAATATATTTTATTATATTATTTACAAAATATATAAATAAAAGTTGTTCTGTGACTCTTCCAATAAACAATGTTCTGATGGAGCAGTGAGTTGGAATGCTTTTCTGTGACTTAAGTTCTCATTTAATCTCTTTAGTCTTTTGTATAATCAATGATGATCCAGGTGTTATAATTAAGAAACATACAAGAGAGTTTGGCTAAGCAGGTTATTACGCCAAAAAGAATAGACAAAGGGCTTACCCTTATCCTGGGCTCACTGGAAAGCTCCAAAGGAGGGATCTCCAAAAGAGACCCTTCCCCACTGGCAATCAGCTCTTAAATGGGGTCCAGGAGAGGCGCAGCCAGGCTCCATCCCTTCCAGCAGCACAGCGCATTGCCTTCACTGTGTTCCCAGGGCTGATCAGCGCTCGCCTCAGGTGATCGACCAGAGGTTCAGGCTGTGATTCAGCAGCTCCCATACAGTCTTCACAGTAAGATACCTCGTGGTATCAGCATTTCCACTGCACCGGTTCTAGGCTCATAGATCTTGAGCACTGGCCAAGCAGGTGGCTTCTGCCAAATGCTTCTCCCACTGCTTTAATGTTCCTTCCCCCATTGCCTTCAACTTCATTTTCAACAACCCGCTGTACTGTTGGATTTTACCAGCAGCTGGTGCATGCAAGGGAATGTGAGATAAGTCCACTCGATGCCAAGATCTTTGGCCCAAGATCTTTGGCCAAGTATTTGCAACTTTCAAAATGCGGGCCCCCATCTGACTCAATTCTCTCACTGTAGAGAAGACCTAAAATATTCAATCCAGCAACTATTTTGTGTGCACCTATCTATCTATCTATCTGCTACATCCCATTTCATCTTACCCATAAATCTTGTTAAGCACACACGTAGAAAGCAGGGTTGTTCAGCTGTGCCCTTCCCCAGGTCACCCTGCTCTCCTCAGACCCCCAGGTCTGTCCAAGAAGCATCTTTCATCAACCCTGCCTAGAAAGTGCTGCCTGCTTTTGTAGCACAAATTGACTAGTTGATGGTGAACTCCTGACTTCCTTATGCCTGGAACAACTCCATGGGCCTCCTCAGCCATCTGCACCAACCCTGGATGTTGTTTGTCTCCACAAACAGCACCCCTACCACCGCATGTTCTTTCCAGAGTTATGTTCCCCCATCTCTGACTAAGAGAGTGAATCTGCTCTGGATCTTCTCCAGGTCTTTGTCGACTGCAGCATGCACTACAGACCTCACATCAGGACATGTTCTGTAAACTCCTACTGCCAGTTTTCTTGTGGCAGATCCATCATTTTGCATCAAGTCCTTTAGTGCCGCCATTCCAGCATTGAAAAAGTGAACATTAGGGGCAGGACGGCTGCTGGTAGGGAGAGGAAACGATGGATTCAGACTGCACAGAATAGTGACACAGACAGTGCCACGTAAGTGTCTTGGCTTTCGTCTTGGAATTCCTTCCTCTGCTTAAGCCTGTGGGGACGCATTGAAGGCTGAGAGATGGGGGCAGGAAGGCAGCTGTGTTTCTCGGCACTTGTATCAAAGTGTGCCGCTCAGGCTGCAGCCAGCTTTCTGTAAGGTCTGCCTGCAGGCTGCTCCCACTATGAGACTCCCAGTAGGCACAGCAGTAGGTACTTTCATCTCCATCCTGTGTGCTGTTAACTGAGAGAGTGCAGATTTTATTCTCACTTTTATAAGACAAATATTTGCTCCTATCGGATTCAAAATCATAGGAAACTTGTAATTCTGCTGTCACAGAAAGGAGCTGTTCAGGAGCTCTGGCAGGCAGCTGTCAGTACCAGTAGATGTAGGCATTCTGAAAGTCATCTATGCCCTCGGCTTTGTACTCAATATTCACAGTTCTGGATCTCGTTCTGGTAACAGATGGTGGACTCTGTTGCAGCAGCACTTGTGCATGTCCGTGTATCAGAAGGAGAGAAAAGGCAGCAAGCACTGCCAGCCTGCTGCCTGCAGGTGCATGCAGGACAGCCTCCTGCTGCTGCTTCCCATGGGGAGGGGAATGGATGCAACTAGGCTTCAGCCAGGGCCAGAAGTGGCAGCAGCAGCAGCAGCATTCTTCTCGTGGTGCCTGCTTGCCTGTGCCCCAAAGCCCCCAGCCCTGTGGCAGGGACAGGGGCTGTGCCTGAGGGCAGGATGTGACTCACTGGTGGCCACCCAGAGAGGGGCCCTGGGCAGCCAGCAGGTGATGCTGTGAGAGATCAGCACAACAGAGGGACCTTATAGTCTGGGCCAAACAGTACAACAAACGCAACCATTCTAGAGCCACATAGGATGTGCCTAGAATAAAGATGCAGAGGGAAGGTCTTATCTATTTGTTCAAATGGAAATGGAACAACAAAGTCCTCTTGTCTTCTGAGACCAGGAAACCAGAAATGTTGACAAGCCACAGAATGGCAGTACTAACCTTTTAACTCCAGCACACTGCGAGATGTGATGCTGTGGAATACTGACCAAAAAACATAAAACCAGGACAAGAGAATGTCTCTTGAACCAAGGCTGCTTCCTGTGACGGAGTGCTGTGTAGCCATAGAGCCCCTTCACTAGTTGGGTGAGCACAATTTTTCTTTCTATGATTACTGGTCTACCTGTGAATACTTTGCCTGCTATCTCCAAGAATCTGTCAGAAGCAGTTTTGCTTCTTTGTGAGCAGGGCACCTACATTAACTTTATGTTGTGTGTTCAAAGTTGGCCTACAGTGCTAGTCTGCAGCCATATGCAAAGCACTGCAAAATCATTAGGGAAAACTTGTGCCAAGACATCTGGAGGCACTTCTCCAGAAAATACAGGTGGGCAAAGCACTCTGCATGTTATCTCTGCCTTTGATCTCTTACCCGATTCCCTGAGAAGGAAACAAAGGTGCAGAGGCTGAAAGGGAAGCACAGGGCACTCTGGCAGTCCACCAGTAGGGATGCATGAGGGACCATGGCTGTGCAACATGCCTACAGAGCCACTTGTCTTGAACTCTAAAAACTACCTGCAAGTCTTTGACTGCAGTGACTCTGAATAGAGTGCTCACCCTTACTACTGATACACTAACAAGCATTTCAGATAGTTACATTTAGTACAGCTGGAGCAAAGGTTCACTCTAGCTTGAATACATGGAAAACAGAATTTGCTCACAAGTCCTCCTAGGGTAGCCATAATGGCTGCAATAAAATAAATCAGCGATCTATACTTGCTGCTGTATTCCATCCCAAACATTTCACTGCGGGAGGATAATCAGCTAAGACTACAGATGAGCCTTTAAGAAATTAGCTTAGGAGTTACTGTGCTGTGATCAAATTACAAAACAAGAGGCTCTAATTCTTGGATTCAAAGTGCATGAAAATGCTATTCAGGGTGAAGAATGATCATTTAATACACCAACCTACTTGCCTTTCATCTGTCTTCACCACTTTCACCACAAGGCGTACAGAAATGCCATTAGAAATTGACATATTTCTCAGCTCATACTCAACCTCCTTTTGTAGGATAACAAATACTTAATTGCCACCTCTAGGTTAAGGTATTTCGGGGTAGGAAGAAAAATGCTTGGGTATTTCTAATGAAACTTCAAATATATGGGATTTCATTCACCTTCATAATTTGAAAATTATGAAAATATATTGAAAATTAACTTTTAGCAGAGTGAATAGTTTTATCGTGCTTTTTTCCTGACCAGGTTTTACTGGTAACATTTTCTCGAAACCAAGGTTTAAATAAAATGACTAAAAATTAATGTATTTAAGGTTGAAGAAAATAAACAGAGAAAACTTCTGAGTTTACCACTGAGTCTTCTGTCAAGACTCACTGCGCTACGTGAGGTTATGAGCACTACACTATGGGTTATGAGCAAGCCCTTCCATGAGGCAAATACTGGGAGGAGGACTGTACCTCTCACACAAAGGAGTTACACCAAATTCCAGTATCTTCATTTTTCAAGGTAAGGGGGACTAAGAACTGACATTTCAAGACCAAGTCAGGGAACCTACTGATTAAACACTAATGCAAACTGTCCCTTCTCTGCTATCATCAAGGAGGGACAGCTATATTAAAAGGAGAGCATAATTCTGTTGATTGATTTGTTGAGTTTCTCAAGGTTCTGACATTACAGTTAGCAGTGAAATACTGAACTCTACTTGCAGTTGGTCCTGATGTGAGAACAGAAAATACTAGAGACAACAATTCAGTTATACTTAGCTTTGTACATGTGGAATTTTAATATATTCTTCGTATCCTTAAAAGATTTCTGTGTTCATGTGTATCTCCCACGCACACATCTACTCAAAGAAACTTTGAAGAGCATCTGTTTAATCACTGATATTCTGGGTAAACTAGCCAGCTTAATATACATTCTTTTCTTATAGGCAGCATACAACCCACCTCTGACAGAAGAGTAGCTTCCAGCTGATGAACTGAATCACCTGGTTGCCTCACTGGTACTAGTACAGATCTGTAATTATTATCGTTGGCAATCTAGTAACATTAGTCTAGAGACTAATTACACAAATGTTAAACTTGGAGAATTGGATGTCATGGGGCTCTCTGACTTCACATCCACGACATACACATTTTAAACATTTCTGAAGTGCTTTCTTTTATGAGCATTCGTCTGTTTCATCTTGCAGGTGAGAAATCCAGATTTACTGTCAAATAGGTTCTACTGCAGTGCACAGCTGTTCCTTGCACTGCATTTTGGCCAGGATCTTGCATTCTCTGGGGACTCGGAGCAAAGTAATTTGTGTCAAACTAAGCAGATTAACATTTGCTCTTTCAGGCAAAGCCCCTGACCATGAGGCTTTCAGCTTTGCTCCTCTTGATGTTTCCTCACTATGAGCGTGAGACAACTCTACGCTGAGCAGTTCATCAGCAGGATCTGCCTGGGATGGAAGACCCTCTCCCAGTTCTGGGCCTATTTGAAGCTGACTTTTATTTCTTCTCTCCAAAGTCTCAAGACAAGACTGAATCCTGTGTTCCTGTATTGTCCTATACTGG